ATAGTCTCCCGCCCCCCTCCTCACCCACACACACACACACACACACACACGTGCGTTTATCACAGCATTTTGACTCTATTTTACTTTACAACAGTAAAAAGCAGTTTGTGAGCAGCACTGACACTGGCGCCGTCCGCAGGCGCAGGCTCTGCATTGTAGCGAGAAGGCTTTGCTGTGCATGCGCTGTGCTCGCTCGATCACCACCCATCCCCCACAGCCAGAGAGAGAGAGAGAGGGCGATCGCGTTCAGAGCGTCTGCGATGAACATTAACACTTCAGAAGAGCCGAGAGAACAGACAGGAGGAGGAGCCAGAATGATTGACAGACGCAGCCTGAGGCGTTGATGTCCCGCCCAGTGCCAGGTTCTGAGAGAGAGAGAGAAAAAGAGAGAGAGAGACAGAGAGAGAGAGAGAGAGAGAGATAGAGAGAGAGAGAGGGGGGGTGGGGAGCGAGCAGCAGTGTTTGAGTGGGGGAAAGAGCATGGCTGTTTCCATTTGGTTATTTACTTTGAGCTGTCTCTAAGCTCTCCTCTATCTCTTTACCAAACCAAATACACGTTGCGCTGTTGAATTTGGGGTTGGATTTGGTGTGCCAGACTTGATTGCTGCGGCCTACGCAGTGTTTTTTTCTCTCTCTTTCTCTCTGGCTTGTGCTGCATTTCACTTTTTTTCATTTTCACTTCCTGCTCTCGGTCCATCCCCCATCCTCTTTCCATTTCCATCCCTCTCTCTCTCTGAACACATGCGCACATACACATTAGCACACAGGCTGTAATTTCATGCTGTCCTCTGCACAGATCAAACATAATGCTGCTGCAATAAACCCTCTCATTTGCTGTCTGAAATATGCATGAACACACTTGGGCCTAAACACTTGTTTCTTTCCCTTTCCATCCCTCCCTCTCTCGCTCGCTCTCTGAACACATGCGCACATACACATTAGCACACAGGCTGTAATATCATGCTGTCCTCTGCACAGATCAAACATAATGCTGCTGCAATAAACCCTCTCATTTGCTGTCTGAAATATGCATGAACACACTTGGGCCTAAACACTTGTTTATGTTTTGTATATGTAGCAATGCTTTGCTGTGCATTCATGTGATAGTTCTTAACTATGATGGAATGAGAATAGTTCAGGTATTATTTGTTGTATAATTGTTTTATTCCGCTATTAGCGGTGTAAAGAGACCCTAAATCCTAAACATTAAAGTGTGAAATGTTTTACCTTAAACTACTTTGTTGTGTCTGAGCTTAATATACTGAGACACATGTATGATTTCCATGAAAAGCGTAAACACGGACACTGTTATTCCTGCTGGTGTTGTTATTGTTAGCTAAGGTGAAAACTTTTCCAAATTATTTTTGTTAACGGAAATAAAATCAAATATAAAAATTAGGTGAACAATTTAAACGTAAAAAAACTAAATTAGAAATGTTGCCTTAGCAACTAACAAGGAAAAGGTGTGTAATTTGTACTAAAATAGTGCTACAGTTACTAAAACACTGAAATAAATATAAATGAAAGCTAAATAAAAATATTAAAAAACAAAAGCTAATAAAAATGACAGAAGAACACAACAAAATGACTAAAGTTGAAATAAAAACTGACATTTTTTATATATATATATATATATATACTTGAAATATTGAAATAATATTAAATATAAACATTAGATGAAAAATATTAACAAATAAAAACTAAATGAAAAATGTTGCCTTGGCAACTAATTGAAATAAAATTTCAATTAGATAAGTTGAAAGTACTAAAATTACTAAAACTAAAATAAATATAAAATAAAGCTTAATAAAAAATATAAAAACTAATAAAAATTACAAAAAACCCCCAGCAAAATTAAACTAAAAAACTTATAACAATAATAAACAATAATTTGATATATGAATAAATAATTTATAAAACACATTAAAATAACGTCATGACAGCCCAAACATGGTTTCAACCAATAGCGCCAGTCTGGGGCGGGATTATCTTTTTGCCTGACCAATGGTTGACAGGAGTTGTGCTCATGAAACCTGTTTGAAAACAGTCATTAGTTTTGATTGTTTGATGACATTTTGTAGTGTAAATAGTGCGAGTAGTGAGTAGTCTTTAAATACCCGGATGATGCACTTAAACGAAAAAGCGAAGTGAGGAGTGTCGGACACTTCATGCACTCAACTGTCACAGCTCTAATTACATAGCGAAGGGGGAGGGGCTATCAGACATATTGTGAATGACAAAATAACTATTTAAGTCATACACTACAGTGCATAGTGCATAGTGTATAGTGTGTAATTTGGGACGCAGCTATATTTTCACTTGGCAGGTGATAAACAGGTGAATAAATGCCGGCTTAGACTATAAGAGGGACTGATGCATAGCTACAGCACAGTATCATCAATACCGGCACCCATTCACCTAGTTACCACCTTAACAGCAACCTAGCAACACACCTTGAACACCATAGCAACCACACTGGCAACTGCATAATGTCCTGCTGGAAACCACCCACAGCACCCGTGCATTGTAAAAGTGAGCTTTGCATAGCCACAGCTTCTTAAGAAAAATGTAGTTTCGATTTTTTTAATTGCATTTGCACACCACATTTTTTTTTTAAAGCCTGAAAAAATACTCTAGATTCAGTTAGTAAATATACTATGATGCATATTTCATGGATTATTTCACAATAAAAGCCGAGGCTCACAGACCTATTTTGTGCTCGTTCCACGAACTGGAACCCAAAGCGTGTCGAAGTGCTCCGGATCCGGATCCGCGCCGCGTCTTGCATGCGACCGCGCGCTTCGGTAAAATGGCTGTGTCTCGCGGAGCCTCGTGCTGGTTTGATCGGTTTCTCTCTCGCGCTCTCGGTCTGTAAGAGGCCCTCCCTCCACACACACACACACACACACACATACACACGGGCGTCGGTTAAAATCATTCCCGGGACCTTTATTTATATTCTCCAGGAAACTTTTCACACTCGAGTCGCGTTCGGGAGAGCAGACCGACTCCGGTCTGAAAGTGGAAGGAATGCTACGGGACGCGGGCACGTCTTTATAAGAGCGCTGTGTTTATATTCAAAGTGACTCGCGGTGAAAGAGAGAGAGATCATGGCCGCTCAGGTCGCCACTCTCAACGCTAGCCCGCCCGCCGAACTCAAGAAGCCGGAGCGGGAGCCGCAGGACGGGCCGGTGCTCGGAGAGAAGCCGCAGGAGAGCACCGAAGCCGGATCCCCGGGACAGAAGGAGCTGCAAGACGGGGCCGATGTGGGGAACGCTGCTGCCGGGGGAGGAGGAGCAGGAGGCGACCCTGACATGAAGAACGGCAGCGGGAACCCGTCCAGGGTGAACAATAACAACAGCCAGAATGAGCCGGACGGGAACAGCCACCCCGGCATGGCTCCCCAACACCAGGGCGCCTTCCCTCCACCTCCGTACGGCTACAACCAGCACTACAACCGGCCCCCTTTTCATCAACATGGCGGACAACAAAGCCCTGGCATGGCCGGGCCGGCGGTAATGGACCCATACCCGCCCAATTCGCACGAGCACGGCTACCCGAACCACTTCAACAACTACAGCGCCTTCCCGAACCGGACTCCGTACCACCAGGGCCAGGGCTACGGCATGAATTCGCCGCGAAACAGCCAGCCGCCGGCGGCCGGGGGACAGCCGGGCAAGCAGCCGCCGCCGGGAGGAACTACGACGATGGCTGCCGCCGCCGTCGCCGCTTCCTACAACAGCCAGAGGTACAGCATGGGCACCCCTCAGCCCACGTCCACCCCGACGCTGAACCAGCTCCTGACCTCCCCCAGCTCGGCCCGGAGCTACCAGAGCTTCCCCGCAGGCGAGTTAGGCGGCCAGGAGGCGGCTGCCAAGGGACCGGGGGACATGTGTAGCGTTAGCCAGTTCGGTGGGGGCCACCCGGCCTGGCAACAAAGAAGCCATCACCCTCCTCCCATGAGCCCGGGAAACACCGGACAAGCCCTCAACAGGACCCAGGTAAACTTTGCTTAACTCGGCGCTCGGCTCGAGCTGCGAGAGAGAAAGAGAGGAGAGAGTCTGCCATTGTTTCTCAGTCTGCTCTAAAATGGCTGCCTGTGTTTTTCCAGCCAACACGGTCCATATAAGCAGCTTTTGCAGGCCGGGCCGAGCTGTGTTTTTGGGCCGTGTCCAGAGCTCGAGCACGGGTTTGCATGTGGAAATGCAGAAGTAAGGCTAATTTTCGAGGCAGGTGTCGCAGCTAAACCCCAGCACAGATGCTGCTCTGCTTTGATGAAAGTAATGCTGTCGCGAAGTTAGTTTATCCCCACCCTCGCCCAGACTAGCAGAATAACTCTTAAAACATCTCTTCAGGCCGAATATGTCACCATGCATGCGGGGGCTAAATGCGGCGCCTCGGTTTGACTGGAAACGCGTCGCGTTCGGGTGTGTTTTGAGGTGTTTTTGGCCCGCGCGTGTGTGTAAACAGGCTGGGAGCTGCGAGTAAGTGCAGCGGGCTGCTTTGCTTTGGGATTTGAATTATGGAGGTAAAATCCTTCTGTCAAAGGCAGGAGACAGTTGGTCTTAGGTTGACACGCGAGCTCTCTTCTGATTGGCTGCCTCTTCTCCTGCGCCTGGCCATTTATAATTGCATCTAATGCAGCAGAGCCCCGCCGACGAGCTGCTCCACTTACACTCGCTGTGTGCACGGGCGCAGTTTAAAGGCTTTTTCACAGATTGAATTCGTGCAATATGATGATTAATGAGACAGTTATGTTAGATGTTTTTTTTTTTTTGCGTTAAAAACCATGCAAATTTGTACATCACGTGTACTTAATTTATGTAGCATTTCATAACCCGGGAGCATCCGTGCATATGTCGGTTTTGTTTTTAACAATTTAATGGCCTTATTTAAAATGTGCAATTTAAATAATGTAGTGCATGCAATGTTATGTTTGTAGCAATGCATCTTATTTTGTTAATTTAGCTAAATTAATTGCGTGTCTTACCCGGTTTAGTTCAAATGCAGCTTTGCTTTGAAAAAGAGTGCAATGTAGACATTTTGGTGATGCACTTTTTTTTTTGTGTGCATGGTCTGAAATGTCCAATGTTAAGAATTTGCATTTCATTTGCGTTAAAAACCATGCAAATTTGTACATCACGTGTACTTAATTTATGTAGCATTTCATAACCCGGGAGCATCCGTGCATATGTCGGTTTTGTTTTTAACAATTTAATGGCCTTATTTAAAATGTGCAATTTAAATAATGTAGTGCATGCAATGTTATGTTTGTAGCAATGCATCTTATTTTGTTAATTTAGCTAAATTAATTGCGTGTCTTACCCGGTTTAGTTCAAATGCAGCTTTGCTTTGAAAAAGAGTGCAATGTAGACATTTTGGTGATGCACTTTTTTTTTTGTGTGCATGGTCTGAAATGTCCAATGTTAAGAATTTGCATTTCATTAAAAGGAGTTATCTTAATGAATTGGGTTACATGATGTGCTGTTGTTTGCATCTCTTTGCTTATTCGAATCTAACTTGTCTGCATCCAGGTTTCCTGATATGTGGAGTGCTGTACTGATACACAGAACATGTGGAATTGCTGCACTAAAGAGATTTTTCTGTTTGTGACATCCGAATATTTGTTGTCTTAAAGGAATAGTCCAAAGATAAGAATTTCCCGATTATTTACACACCAACATCTATAGGTCTTTATTCAGCTGAAGAGAAATGAAGGTTTTGGAGAAAAACATTCCAGGATTTTTCATTTCTCAGTGCAAGTGAATGGGGCTCACTGTAGACCGTTTTCAATAGTCCAAAATAGTGAAAAACGAACAATAACTTTAACACAAACTTGTCAACAATAGGCCGGTTCTTTCCGCATGTATCACGTGTAATCTTTTCAATGTTGTTGTGAATTAAACCAGGCTGGACCAAGGTGAGCATTTTTAATTTGTAGGTAAAAAAAAAAAAGTATAAAATTGACAGTTTTTCTGAAAATGACTAATTGATTCGCTAAAGACGACCCTTATTTGTCTTCGTCTGAAGAAAGAAAGATATACATATTTGGATGTCTGGGGGTGTGTAAATAATCAGGACATTTTTATTTTTGGGTGAACTATCTCTTTAATTCTTTCTCCATTTATTGAACCTTGATTACCTGTCTTATGAATCTCTTGATAGGAAATGTAGCATCAAACTACATATCATTTAGACGACTTATCTTTTCTGTTATGCATATTGTGTTTTTTTTTTTTTTTTTGCTTGGCCTGAAATGCTTAATAATAGCAGTGCATTAATATGAGAGATTAGTATTTGTGAAGAAAAGTGACTAGTTAGGCTATATCATAATTTGGGGATGTTGTATGTATGTGATCTGCATCCAGGTTTTGTAGCGTTTAAATTTCAGGTTGTAACTCACTAGATGTATTAGGTGGGAGAATCACTACTATATGCATTGTCTCACAGCACTGATCCAGGTGATCTTGAAAGTTGCATGCTTGTTCAGCCTGACTGTGTGTGTGTGTGTGTGTGTGTGTGTGTGTGTGTGTGTGTGTGTGTGTGTGTGTGTTGTTTTTTTTTTTTTTTTTTGCATGGCCTGAAATGCTTAATAATAGCAGTGCATTAATATGAGAGATTAGTATTTGTGAAGAAAAGTGACTAGTTAGGCTATATCATAATTTGGGGATGTTGTATGTATGTGATCTGCATCCAGGTTTTGTAGCGTTTAAATTTCAGGTTGTAACTCACTAGATGTATTAGGTGGGAGAATCACTACTATATGCATTGTCTCACAGCACTGATCCAGGTGATCTTGAAAGTTGCATGCTTGTTCAGCCTGACTGTGTGTGTGTGTGTGTGTGTGTGTGTGTGTGTGTGTGTGTGTGTGTGTGTGTTTACAAGCAGTGTAGGCGTTAACCAAGAGTCACTGCTGTTTTAATACCATCCTGTGATCATCAGCAATGATATTCTGTCTTTCTGAGGCTCGTGCCTTTCCTGAACGCTCAGACGTTTGTGCTGTGTGATTGCTGTGCTCTCATTGTGGAAAATCAAGTGTTTTAATAATGACCCTCAGAGACAGATATTCTTACTGTGTACTGTGTCTTAATATTTCTCTTAAAACAAATAATCTGTCCTTGTCTAGAGTGTTTTAATTTCGGATTGAGTTTGAAACAGGACTTTTAAAACTTTGCATTTGTGGTTCTGTTAATAAGTGCTTGTGCAGGCTAAAGTGACACGTTTCCATCACCGTTTTTTTGCACATTTTTAAAGTGCCCCTATTATGCCATTTTTAAGGTTGCTAATATTGTTTTATGAGTCTCCTAAAACAGGTTTACATGCATGCAAGGTCAAAAAACAAGTTGGTTTTCTCAAAAAATAAAAATTTTGACCTAATTTCTAAATGATTCGTAAACGACTCGTGCAAAGTAGTTCAAAGAATCAGTCTCTCTAAACCCCTCCTTTCCGTGAGCCCTCACTGCTGTGATTGGTCAGTTGGCGCAGTCCTTTGTGATTGGTCCAGAGCCGTAGAGAGATTGGCTCTGGATTGGTCTACCGCGTACAGTGCGTGTCGGAAACGAAACGCCGATTGCCATGACGGAATGACAGCCCTGGAGACTTGTCAATTAGTGTTGGGCGATATGCTCAATTTTCATATCGTCCTATCGTCAGCCTGTGAGATCACTGATACATGATATTATCGTGCTAATTTATGTAATTATTTACTTCGTTTCATTGCGAGAAAATGAACCAACTCCAGCGTAAGGCTAAAAACAGCCTAATGTTTTTAATATGACTGAATTTGTATTTAACATGATGATAAATGAATAGAAACATCGTAAGTTACTAATTATAATGCTTACATTTCCTCAGTTATTCAAAAAGCAGCTACAGAAAACGATCAAAGAACATTAGATTACCAAAGAACATCATCACAAGCTCAGTCTAGCGCGAGTTTATGCACTTTAAAAACACTCCCATTATAATCAGTGAATCTACACTATATATGATGAATAAATCTCTTATACTTACATCGCACGTACATCTGCACTTTGTTGTTTATAATGAGAGAATTCGCGAGTCAGAAGTCAGTCAGCGCACGCCGAACAACAGAACTCCGCTGTTTCAGTGATGACGCATCTGAATGCATCTGATTGGCCAATGCATTCATAAGCTCAGCATAATCGTGTGTGATTGGTTAGAACGCGCAATACTGTTAAAAACGCGGAAAAATAAATAGCCTGATAATAATAATCGTCTTGCTATCGTCAAAGGCATCAGCCACAGGCGATATCTTTGTCTATCGTCGATACGCGATACTGTCGTCTATCGGCACAACCCTATTGTCAATACATAGAAAAGATGGTATCGATTGTACCTTACCAATTCGAGCCGGAGTCTGTTGATGAAACGGTTGAACTGGCTGATCGACAAGAGACTGATTCGCAAGCATGACGTTTCTCAGTGGTAAGTGTCAAGTGTTAACAAGTTTGTGGTAATTATAAGATGTGATTAAATAAATTGACTCTCACAGCGTAGGATACAGCGTCTTCTCGACATGATTTTAACCACAGGGAAATTTTACTGTTTGTGGGCGGGCAAGTTGGCGACGTAGAACGTGGGCAGACATTATGCAAATGTGTTACTTCGTGACGTAGAGCCGTAACAGAATAAGATTCAAATTCATGACGACTCGTTTAGGCGATTGCGAGCCGACTCTTTTTTTGATAGACAATAACTTTATTTATCATGCACTGTCGGCTTCACAACTTTGCAGATAGTTTATGACAGCTACGGCACACTGCATGAAAGGTAATATTCGGAAAGACATAATAGGGGCACTTTAAGTATCGCATCAGAAACGAGTGATTGAAACGCCAAATTTCGGAAACATTTAAAAAAAAAAAAAAAAGTTTTTACGCTTGCTTGAGGTGGTTTTTGACTTGTGCGATTTTGCGTGATGGGATGGCAAAACCTGACTAACCAGCGGACCGATCTCGTTCACAGCATCTGAAACGTT